TGGTGTGCTCCTGACTGTGCTTTTTGCCCACGCGCCCCTCATCCCTCGCTGCCTTCCCTCCCAGGAGCCGAGCTGGCGCTTCCTGTCAGCCTTGGGCCCTGGAGTCCAGAGCCTCTCCCTTGGGTTCCAGCCAAGGATGCTTGGCCCAGAGACCTCATCCTTGCTTTCTAGGGCCACCTACAGATACCCTCCCCCGCGCCCCTGTTGAGGAGGACAGGAGGCAGCCAGGGACTCAGACGCCCTGGGGCCGTTCGGGTGGGTCTAGTGAGCAGGACACTGGCCCGCGAGGGGCACCGGCCGGCCTCTCCTAGCCAAGCGCGCAGGTGGCGCATCTTCGGGGCTCACTGTGCGGATTAATTGGGTTAAAGCGAAGCTAAACACCGAAGCACTTTGTGGAAACTAATTGGTGCAACCGGGGCCTTTTCACTAACGATTTGCACTTTAAGAAAGAAAAATAGGTGGTGCGAAAAAGACTAAGAAACTCGTTAGTCCTAGCGTGTTCCAGGGAAGTGAAGTCATTCGGTTTTAAGGACGCTAAGACCACGTTTTAAGAGCTGTTTCCTTAAGCACCCATCACACCCAGCGCTGATAGTGATTTACATAACATAAGCTTCGCCGGTCCGCTGTTATCCTTGTTGGTGAACTGGGCGCCCTAGAATAATACTCTGGTGCAAGTTGTGCTTGTTGCTGCAACACAGTGATTTTCTATTACACTGAACACGTGAAATGAATTGCCTTCTCTTGCTGAATCCTTTCAGTGATCTTAACACCCCTCATTGTTGAAGGGAAAATTAAACTATCTGGACCACTGTTTTTTATCCCTTACATTTTTTAAATTAAAATGACCTATAGAGAAGAATTAAAAATAATAGTATCTTTTTGTGTCATTCAGTTGACTTCAATCTAGGTTTTGGAGTCAGATTTGTTTTGTAGGAGTAATGTATTTAACTACTTTATAGTATTTTTTTAAAAATATCACTTGACCCATTGAACTAGTTATTTCAAATGATGATGCAATTCATAGATGGCTTAAAATCCGTCTCTTACATATATGAAAAGTTTATAAAAGAACTCTAAAGATACCAGTCATTGGTTTTTTTGCTATAACTACAATCTTGATGCTAGAATAAAAGCTTGTGTGTGTCCCTTTCTTTAAGAATAAATGCTTAATTGTTTTCAGTGGTATGCATGCAGGCCATCTTTGACATGGGCTAATAATAGCATGATAATTGAAGAAAACTGACCTAATTAAAGGGAAAAGTACCCCAAGAATCTCATGATTTAATGATTGAGATACTTGTATTTGAATGTTATTTGGGATTTTAAGGTTTGACTTTTTCTCATTTTCCTAGTTCACCAGGCAGCCTTGATTTAAAATGTATGTACCAGTAGAAAAAAAAATTCAATAAAGATACAAACACATCTGGATAAAAAAATTATTAAACATTGTGATGTTTATTACTTTAAAGCATTCCAAATAACAGTACCAAAAAAAAAAGAAGAAGAAGAAGAAAAGACAAGAAAAACTTCTTTTGAGGTACTATCGCCTGAGTAACTAATAACACTTTTGTAGATCTACTTACTATGTGGACTACACAAAGTAATGCATAAACCATCTCCTCCCGAGGTTTGAAGAAAAACTCTATTATGTGCGATGTAGGAATGCAAGGTCTCTGTATTTTAAAAATGATCCTCATTTAAATTTGAATTTCATGTGCACAAATTTCAGCAATTGTAAACTTTCCTCTAGAAAACTGTATCTGCTAGATGATATGCACACACATTAACTGCTTATATAGATACTGTTCTGTGATTTTTTTTCATTATATGCTGGGTGCTAGTTTATTCACAAGAATTCATGAATTTAAAGTTTTTTTAATATTTTTAATATGTGCTTATTACACTGGGGAGATAAAAAGAATATGAAGTTGAGTTTATTAAATTATTTATCCCTACTGCTGGAGTGGCTTTGAAGGCTCATTGTACTATCTGATGCCACCGCCTCCTTTTTTTAATGTAGCTGGGCTATTTCAACTGTTTCATTCTGCCAGACACAATATATTTCTCTTTTTCCACTAGAGAAATTAAAGACAGATATTTGTGCAGGGTTTTCTTTATGTGTCACATTAAATAAAGTAAAATAGAGGGAGTTTTTCTGGTAATCTAATTTGATGGTGTCTATACCTTTCTTCCTGTTGTGACTCCTGGTATAAGAACACTTGAAACAAAATAGCTTGAAATCTTGGAAAGGACCATTGATTTCTTAAAATTGTTATTTCATGTTTTAATATTAGGGTTATTACAAAGTCAAGCAGAAGATTGAGGTCACTGTTTACAACATTTTAGGCCCTATTTTTTTTTCTTCAATGTGAGCATCCTGAGAATTGTGGCTAATTTAAAAAAAATATTATTTTTCACTTGAATGATCAAGGCCATTTCCTCAGTTTTATCACCCAAGTGTGCAATCACTTGTAGTGGCAAATACTTCTTTTTCTACAGTATTGCTTAGTAAACTTGATATTGGTGTTAATAGGTATTGAAAAGGAAAGTAACTTTTGAGATTAAACATGGATGTTGAAAGTATATTGTACAAGAATTAGCCTCTTGCTTGATTTGCAGACTTGAAGAAATTATAGGTAAAGAAGGACCAAATCTTTCCTTTGATAGAAAAAGAAATTTAAAGCCTGGCTTATTTATCTAATTGTCTCAGTTTCCTCACTTCATTTGAATATATACACACAAGTGCAGGGTATTTTAAGTTGCATATGTAAACTGAAAAAAAAAAAGAGAAGAGGTTATCAATCAAGATTGTTCATAATATGTTATGATCTCTAACCTCTTTCAAATGTTATGGACAATGGGTTTATTCATTGATCTCTTGAGTATTATGGAAGAAATGTTGATTCCACTATTTTAGTTCCTCATGGACCGTTCATGAAGTCACCACTATGTTTCTAATTGATAAAACTAAAAATTTTTTTTGTTAGATTTCAGCCTGTATTTTTCATTCAAATATTATGAAATAATTAGATGGGATAAATGGACTCAGGTGATTCTTTTCTACATGC